CACATAGCAAAATTAATTGTTGTGAATGATTGTCCTTTTCTTTTAAGTGGTTTGGCAAACCATTTTCCTTATTGAGAGTTGTTTCATGCGGCCTAACCACATTTCTATATATGCGATCCAAAAATTGTAAAACATCCATTTTAAAGATGGATGCAAGTAGGTGTTCCATCTAAAAACAATAGAAATTAACGGTCCAAATGTTTTTTACTAGAATTATTATTTTTAGTTTTAAAATTTATTTATTTTTTCATATTCATGATCTCCATGTTAGAGATTACATGTCCTTAAAATTTAAGTCTTAAAATCCATCTCAAAAATAGATTTATTAAGAGGCCCGTATTTCTACATATGCAGCCTTGGCCGCATAGAAACGGGTCCAAAACTAAAAAAGGACACAATGAGGAAAGAAGTGGACACGTAGCACAAGAATGAGTGAGGAGCCTTGCTTATTTCCACGTTGAACACCTACCTGCCTCCTCCTTTTCCACTCAACATTCCCCAAGACATCCACAGCTAATCGAATGAGTCCTAGAAACCATCTCTCTTCAAGACTTCAAAACCACCCAAGGTGCCCTAGTTTTAGAACACTGAATGCTTTGACACCATCAGAAAATTTACCATCTTCCCTTCCATGAGGGCCTGTTAGAGAGCTTCTTGCACAACAACATCACTACCCATTCAGAGTCTTTAGAGCCGAAACCGTCACCTAAAATCTACAAGTACTGCCAACCTAGCTACTAGCCCATCACCAAAACCTCTTACATCCTCATTGGCACCCAAAGTATTCCTCAACCCCTTGCTTCCCTTACCTACACAATCGGACTGCCTCATCACCAATACCAATCAATCTCCGACAAACACCAAACTCTTGAGACCAGAAAAACCAGACCCTCCAAATCATGTACCTTCCCTGAAACATCCATGACTGGCAAAAACAAACTCAACATATCAGAAACAGAAGGCTCAGATAAGGTTTTATCTGTTGGTGTGTTAGCGGATTCAGACAAAACGGAAAGAATCTCAATGGTGGAAAGTAGCATCAAAGAAATGGTGCAATGGGGGCTCTCTTAAGAAAGATGTTTTTTTTTTTTTTGATAATGTTAACCTAAGAAAGTTCAAGTGTTTAACCAATGAAATTACTGGTGCCTTTTAGATGAATTCCACCAAAGTACACTCCAGCCATACCAGTAATGCTAGGAAGAAAGAAATGCAGTAAAGGGAACTAAAAAACCTAGCGTGCAACATCAGCTATGACAGAAAGACCACAACTGAAACAGAGACAGCTCCTCTCGTGCAGCGACGTCATACCACGAAGCGCAACCAATTAAACCTCCCATTCATTGAAGATAATTGCTTGGAGCATTTGGGATATGGGCAATCATGTTAAAAAGAATTCCATCTGAAATTTCGATCTAAAATTCGATCCAGAAATTTTGGCCATGTCAGAAACCAAACATAAAGGCCTCAACCCTTGCAAAATTTTGAGAAATCTGGGGAAGAAGACCTGCTAACTGAAACACCCTCCCAGCAGAAGGTGCCTTTTGGGGAATCTGGGTCATTTGCGATCCCTCTTAGTGAAAGTAAACTCCAGATTGGACAAATTCTTTGTCCTTGTAGATGTTGCCATTCACAACTTTCTATGGCCCCAATTACCCATAGAAACCTGTACAGTCATTTTTATCCACCAATGGGCAGGATATATGTCAACAAATTCAAAAAGAAAAAAAAAAAGAAAAAAACATATCCAACAGAAATCACTATCCCATACCTCAGAGAGCTCCCTAATCCTCACTTTAGGTTACCCCACCGGCGGGCTGCATTAAACTGAATGTTGATGGCAGCTCAAAGGAAAATCCCAGCAGGGCTGGTTTTCATGGCCTTTTTGTTGAACATCAGGGACTGCCTTTGCTGACATATTCAGGGCCTTTGGGAATGTGCGACTCTACAGAAGCAGAAGCTCCAGTCCTGTTGGCTGGCCTCCAAACAAACGATAGATATTGGGGTGTGACCTGCTTATAGAATGAGACTCAAGGAATGTAACATCCTGGCAACAAAACAGCCTCTGGCCCCTGCATAGCATACTTTTTTACCAAATTCACCAACTTTGCAATGCCTTAAATGTCACTTTGTACATGTGTGGCGAGAAGCCAACAGTTTGGTGGATGCAGTGGCCAGAGGAGTTGATCTTCCTGCTATCCTAAGTACCCTATCTCAACTTCAAACCCAACCCATTCCCCACACCACAGAAATTTTGTAAATCGTTGAATTGCCACAATTTGGATTTAAAATTTGGGAACTCCCCTATCCAGGGTCCAACACTCTGTAGAAGCGTACACAATCAATATAATTACTAGGTATCCAGGAAAAAAATAAAGAAAGAAAAAAGATGCATATCACACCCATGAATTCTTTTTAAGGAAAATTTAGTTATTGTTGAAAAAGTTGTTGAAAAAGGATATGCATGTCCATTAAATCAGTTTAACATTCTCAATCTTTCTATATAGTACAGTTAAGCTATTCTATCTGTGCCATTTTTGCTGCTGCTTGTTTGATTGCCTCCTTTTTTGGTTTTGGTGCAGGTCATAGCGGACGATCGCAGGGTCCAACTTTGGCTCATTAAGTTTCAATTTGGTTGCATCCATACTCAAAACTCATTATGGATATGCAGACGATTGTGCCATACCGTGGAAATTCGTTAACATGCATGGAAATAAATGTTCCTAATGAGAGAAAAGGTGACCAGCCACTATTAGAATGCTTTCCGTTAGAAGTAACTTCTGTATTTCTTGAGTTTGTCAACCCATATTTCATCAACATGTGATCCCGTCTCTTTATAAATTCATGTGGCTAGTACCATCATTTGTAACTTATCTCATGAATAGAACAATTCTTAATTCTATTGAGTGAATGAAAAATTGGCATGTGGTCTCTGCATTTGGCTCAAACACACACATGCATTCATGTGATTTGAGTATATGAATGTTTTTCGTGTATTGCATTGCCTCTCCTGTATCATAATTTTGAAGTGTTGAAGCCCCATCAATGATTATAGATTTGATGTTGAGTGGATGCATTTTTTATCGAGCGAGTTATTCTTGAAATTCATCGACATGTCCATCCAATCTTATTAGAAACCCATACCTAAAAAGTGACTGAATTCTTGTGCTTTGGATTGAGCTTGGAGATGTAATACACATGAAAGAAACAGATGCAGTTAGTTATGGATGAGGATGTGCATGCATAACCTTTTTGCTTGATTTTCTTTCCTCATGTGCATACACAATTCTGCAATCACATGCAACCACCCACTCCTACATGGTCATGAATATGCATGGATGCGTACGTTCACGCACACAGCATATATGGATTACCATTTGCAGGCCATGGTTCCCACTTGATGCCAGGGCGATCCTACGTCTCTCCTGTTTCCTCTATGAATTTGATGGATATGGATGCTGAGCTTACTGACTAGTGACCAAAAACATGTCATTCATGTAAAAGAAAAAAAAACAGAGTAATTATGGAAAATTTGGTCAATTTAATTTATGCGAATTAGAGATATTTTGGTCAATTTAATTTATGTAAATTATTTTTTTGATATTTTTATTAGATTCTATTATTATTAAAGAATATATGTATTCCAAATTTCAAATAATTTGGATTTGTAAAAAAAAATTCAAATTCAATTACGAAATACAATTGTGATCATTGGATTGGTTCAGATTCAATCTGAACCGTTGGACTTACAGTGTTCCATGAGCCCATGGGCTGACAGGAGCTTTTTCCATTAACCAAAGATCTACATGTTAGAGTTGTATTTACAATTTGGGTTCGCGGTCCTTTTATATGAAAATATTGTCATCAATTTTCCTTTGTTCTTTTTAATTTAATTTTCTTTCTTTGTTACAATTTCTTTGGGCAAAGCATGTAACCAGAACCCGTCGCACAAAATTTCAAAGAATCTAACAAATCTGTGAGTGTTGTGTGTGTGTGGATGCGGAAAGGGTATATTTGAACGAGGATCGCTCAAGATTGTTTTGGTAAAAAGCCCAGACAAGCCTCGACCAAATTCAGAAAAGCTTCATTCAATTTGACGAGAACATCACCTCAACCAAATTCAGAAAAACTTCATCCGATCTGACTGACAAAAACAATCCCGAACAAATGAAGCTAGTGAGTTTGAAATGCGAGGAAAAAAAGACTATTGAAACTGCTGATCTTGGAAAAGGAATGCATCTCTAGATATACTTTACTAAAATGCTCATTTGATATTTCTCAGGGAAGCTTTTAGTCATAAAGCGACTAAATTTAGGGTTGTCTGAAATTTAACTAAATTGGGGCACAAATTTCATTCAACGTGCATGGAATTGGTCAAGCATACAATTGGCCAAAAACGAAATGAGATAGAAAATAGTTTCAAAAAGCCTAGGAAGTATTTCAGCCACAAGAAAAAGAACTAAGGCTTAATTGGTTAGCACTTGATGATTCCCTCTCCCCACTTACCAAAAAAAAATGTGGGAACATAACCAGGACATTGGTCATTGTACACATCCCCAGTTTGAAATTAAGCTGAACGTAGAAACCAAAATTCGCTAAATATTCGAGTGTTGACTCCAGCTGCACTCAACCACGGCTCTCAACCTGAAATTCTCCAAAATATTTTTTTTGTTTTTATTTATTTTTATTTTTATTTTTTTGAGTTGTTCGGCGGGCGGGACGAATCAAACTTAGGAAATAATATTTCAATCATCAACACCTTAACCAGTCACAGATCCCAGGAAACACCCTCGACTTCAGAATTTTTATGACAACACATTTCCTAATCGATGACACGTTTGTAACAATCTGATACAAAATAGGAATACATATTTGATGTACAAATAGACTTTTCCAACGAAAATTTTAACTTTCTTCGTTCTCGATAATTTAATACATAACATCATTAGAGATCATCCACATGCATTCTTTCTTGAGATATAGAAGTACCCACATAACCCTTTGACTCGTTTATTAACGAGCTTGAAAGCCTTGACAAGATGAGCCTTGCCACATTCTCAGCTGCAACAGCACTGGTTTCCATGGTACTAGCTGCATTTTCAAAAGAGTTGATGTAATACAAGTGTAATTGGTCCAAAATGATTGGAGCGAAGATCTCTGGTGCCTCATAGTGGGGATAAGCAGCCCAATTTATCCTCACCACCTCTTTTCTGACACTGAAACAATAATGGTAAAAGTCAACTTTTCATAATCCTTACTCCGTATTACTCTCAGGCTTGGATACGTAAAATAAGAGAATTTTTACTTGGCCGAAAACAAAAAAGAGATTTTCCTTGGGAGTGGAGTGCACAAATCTGGAAAAACAAAGTAGCTTTTTCTGTTAATGTTGATGTAAAGGGGTTTCGAAATTTGACCTCGAGGTTACAGCAAGAAGCAACCCCCTAATATATAGGAGACCCGTTCATGATAATTGTTAAAATGCTTTTTCTTTGGCATGTAAACTAAGTTTTGAACCCAAAACACAGTTCTTGACCCTTGTGTCCATCCCCATTATCCAAGAGACGAAATGCATCATAAGAGACATGGGAATCCTACAGAGAAGGGGAGGTCACCTGAAAATAAGATCCAGCAGATCATCATTCATTGGAACGCGAGAAAATACTTTATAGGCCTTGTCTTCATTGCTGTATTCCTTTAGAACAGAGATACTGGAAAATGGCAGATCCGGCACTTCGACGGTGCCAACAAGGTTGGGAATCTCAGATATGGACTTCAACCCAAAATATCCCTAGGAAGTAATAACAAGCAATCATTAGTAAGTAAGGAATTGTCATTTATAATATTTGGAGAAATAGTGGGTATTAAAAGATTTTCCTTTTAAGAATGTGGAGTGCATTAAGGAAGCTCAGTAAGAGCTCAATGTTTCTAGTATTATTATTTTTTCCGCAAGGAACAGCGAGTTTCCTTAATACACTCTATAATCTTAGCAAACTTTTTCATTTGCTACACACTACTTATCCTAAATTATTATAGTAACTCTATTCTATGATAAAAACACATATTACATGCATATGAGTTTCAACTAAAGGTACTCGCTGCAAATAGCATTAGCTCTCCTATGCATAAAATTTCACCCAAGTTGGAATTCAAATAGTGCAGTCAATTTGTGTAAGTATGAACAGTGATACACATAAAAAAGTTTCTCCTTGGATCAAACAATAAAGAAGATTAAGGGGGTGGTGACAGGTAGAAGTTACAAGAGAATATGCAATTCCCAAACTTTTCAAAAGTTTTGGCCATTAGTTGTATATTTAGATATATGAGAACAGATTATTTCATAACTACCAATATTTTTTCATAGAGAAGATGTTGATTACTGGGCAGTTAACTCATTGAAATAAAATTCCCCACTAATTACCAAATTTTCAAAAGATATTATTATCACTGAGTTCTTTATAAAACATGTACAGGATAAATACAACGTAAACCATCAATACTCTCGTGCAGAAGAGTATAAAAACAAGAGGAGGAGGCTCACTGCATTAGCTCTCCTATGCATAAATTTCCACCCAAGTTGGAGTTCAACTAGTGTACTCAATTTGTTAAAGCATGCACAGTGATACAATTCTTTTGTTCCACATAAAAGAATTTCTCCGTGGATTAAACAATGAACAAGATTAAGGGAGAGGCAAAAGACAGACGTTCAAAAGAATAAAATTTTGGCTATTAGTTGTATATTTAGATATTTGAAAACAAATTACTTCATAACTACCATGATTTTTTTATAGAGAGGGTGTTTGATTTTTTTTCCTTGATTCAGTTAACTGTTATCTTGAGTAGAGGAAGAATTACACGTTTCAAAAAATAGGCTTCCCACAAGCCGGGAGCTCAATATAAAACATAAGCTCATAGAGAAGGTGTTGATTACTGGGAAATTAACTCACTTAGTTTCTCCATTAATTACCAGATTTTCAAAGGACATTATCATTATGAGCTCATTATAAAACATGTACAGGATCAATACAAAACAAATTACAATCCACCAAAGTTCTTACCTAAAAGAGTATAAAAAGAAGAGAAGGCTCACCGGATTCAAAACGCCCCTTACAAATGTTGCATGTGTATGTTGCAGCTTCCTTTTTGGAATTGATATTGGAGGAGAAAAACTAATGTTAAGCTCATCTAGAGGGGTGGCAACCACTGTAATGTTACAATGATAAGAGTTTCCTTTGGTTGAGTTAAGCTCGTAATAATCTCCAAGATTTGAAATAGACATTATTTCTTCTTGAAGAAACAAAGAAGCATTTGAGCGGTCGATCAAGCCAGCAGCCATCTGCCAATTGCCTCCTTCCACAGCCCAGAGTCCAGAATCAGAGCCTGCCAAAGAAACTGCACCAGCCATGCCACTGATGTTTACATCCTGACCATAGTTAATTCTCATAATAACCTGTGGGAAAACATTCATCCAAGAATTCATAGGCACATATGAGAAAAATAAATTAAATAATCATTACATAAACAGGGATGGACTCACATAACACGATTAAGGGAAATAAACATCGAAGGCATCCAACCAATTGACAAGAAGAAAATGACTGAACAAGATTTGGACATGACAATAAATGCTTCATTACTGCAAAGAGATATAGTCTCAGAAGGTGGGTTTCTTGGATTCCCATCAAATCCCATGTACATGATGAATCTTGACATATGATTAACTCCAAATATGTACTTATGCACATTTCCTCTTCGAATTTCCCATAAAAAAGGCATAGTTCAGGGAAATTCTGTCATCATCAATTGAAAGAGAGAGAGAGAGAGAGATTTTCCATTACTCCAGGGGTTTGTAGTGGCTATTACGCCTTGATTTGGGTATGGAAGCACTCTCACCTTTGGAGATTTGGCGAGTAATAGAAAGCATAAATTCAATGGTTAGTTACTTATGAATCAGTAGAGGATGCATGACAATGAGAAAATTAGTATAACCGAGGAATTGCTTTCCGACCCACCTGATACTGATTTGTTTCTTAAATACTGCAAGCCTAAATTTTGGCAGGGGTTGGCATGGCCACCATACTGGAACTCAAAAAACTACAAAGCTCCTAGGTAAGAAAAATAAAAACAGACTCCTTTCTTGCTTATTGTAATCCTCAAAGGATATACAATAATTACAAGAGGCTCTAAACAGTGACACAGAGAAGTTGAACGCCATATAAAGTGAAAAACATATGGCCATTACTCTCAAGATTTTGACATGATCAAAGCATCACTGAAATTAAGAATACTCGTGCACGATGCGATAGATCAATTGACTAGTTAAATGTGAAAAATTAAAAGTTCCTAGGACTTGATAGAGGATCCATGCCACAGAAACATCCATTGTTACTCTTCTTTATCTAAAGGTACAAGGAAGCATCCTCAAAAAGTCTAGTCCATCCAGATCATGGTCAGTATGGTACATCACAAGAAAAGGAATTGTGAACAATCCAAAGTGGTGGCAAAGGAAACCCAATTTGTGTGCCATCCCATAAGGCAATCTAAGCAGCCTCACAAAACAATGTCTCTTGTTTTTTAGCCATAAGGCAATCTCAGCAGTTGTGCTGTCATAATCCCAAAAATCCTAGTTATCCACTGGTACCAGAATTGAGCAGAAGTATCACCAAAGCTTTCATGTCCTGGAACCGAGGAAATGACAAAGACATGCATTGAAAAATTGGAATTTTCGCCATAGAATAGAGTATTCATCTAGGTTCTAGTGCGCACTAGTTATGAGTAGAAACTCTTTGTTTGGGTGCAACGGGCTCAAACCCAAAACAGTTTTAAGTGGGAACCTATATTCAACTCTCTTATTAAAATGACAAATTGCTAATGGAAGCAAAAGTGAAAAATGTTCATAAATAGATCTCTAAATTTTTTCGTAAGTAAAGAGATCTATAAGCATTCACTACAATCTGTAGTTTAAAATAAGGAAAACAATTGATACAATTTGTCACAACTAGAACACTGCCCTCAAATACCATGATCTTACCACTATGATAAGTTGTAGAAAAGAGAAAGTCCCCCACCAAAATCAAGAAAAGACCCTCATCTCTTGCCCCTGATACTCATCCCACAGGTAAGAAACATTCCTAGCCATTGGCTTCATTGTACACATTTGAGAAAGAGATAGATACCCATCACTCTATTCCCTCCATGATGATATTAGGTAATCTTTAAGAGCAGTTTATCACTCAGAAAGCCCATCACATGACATTAAGAAAATTTTCCGCAAAATCAGCAGGCTTGAGAAGTAGCAGGAGAGAACCCTATGGCTAATCAAGAGGGCCCTTTCTTCCGCTTCCAAAACCTGCAATCCCAATAGGCCCTGTGCCCCTAATAAAGTAATGAAGGTGCTAATGTGATCATCTCTGATTAAACCAGCAAACATAGATGACCTTCGCTTACTCCCAAATGGCCCAAGGTATAATCAAGCCTATCCTATATGATACAGGTTACTAGTTTCCATTTACAAATTGGGTCCTTCGCATTGAAACATAATAATGCTAACGATCCACTTTATCCATATGATTAAATATTGCTTGATGCATTTCACAAGTATCATGAAATCAGAATCTAGTAATTTCTTTGTTTTTCTTTCAAGAATCCCACGAGATAGCCCTGCATAATTTGTAGAAAAAGCATCCTTTCCCAGGAAGCATTGTCCGGGATGAAAGAATCAGGAAACACTTCTCTAATTTGGACCTGATTGAAGACATCTTACTTAAGGAATGAATCCCCAAATCCAACGTTGTAGAAAAGAGACCCACTGTTTGATTCGCTAAACAAGAAACAAATGCTATGGGTTTGTCATCCTAATCTTTAGAGGTAGTCTAAAAAAAAAAAATCCTATCTATGATAGTAGTCAACCAGACGAGGGCACAAGAGCGATGTGGAGCGGGAGCAGGATGAGGCTACCCCATAAAACAACAAGAGATCCATCCCTATAATACATTTTGTCTTTAAGGATCTGAGAGAACAGGTACCTTTTTTAGAATAAATTTTTCCTGCAGGCACCCAAGCATAGAACATAAATATTCTATCTCCTCTTCGCTCAGGTTCCTCTTGAAGTGGGGACAGCACAGTTCTTTCTCATTTAATTGGTAGGCAGCTGCATAATTCTTCCTCCATTCATCTTGAAACAATCCCAAAACAGTGTTCCAAGATCAGAGGCTAATCTGGACAAGCGTGAGACCCTGCCTCTCCATGCCCCCAACATCAAAAATCTCTTTGTATCTACCACGGTCTCTCATCCCCATAGGTGCATCCAGTGCTTTGCTTGGAGAGATTGAGGTTCTTCCCCAAAATATTAATACTGTTTTGCCAAAAGGGCGTTGTCATTTCTTTCAGGTGTTTGATCCCCATCCCACCATGGTGATTTGATTAGCAAAGATCCTCCCACTAGAACATATTGTATTTGTGTCGTAACACTTCCATCTCTCCTAAGAACTCCCTTTGAGTCCTTTTTAAGTTCTTGGCCACTGGAAATGGAATTTGAAATAGCAGTAGACATAATTTATTGGACTGTTTCAAAGAATGGTAGTGAATGTACCGTTTCCAAAGAGACAAGCATGGCTTTTCCAAGGCACTAGTCTCCCCTCAATCAGACACATAATAAACCAGAATCGAGTCCAATAATTTGCTTAACTTAAAGAGATTATGCAAGATCAAACAAATGATGGAAAAGAACAAAATTGGATACAAGTGATTAATCTTTCACTAGATGTTAAAATATATCCCAATAAATACCCATTATATTTTTTATTTGTTCCTTTTATCTATATATGCAAGTGCAGCACAGACCTAATACATCACCTGTTAGGAGCGGTAATTTAGTTCAAGTGGAAGGCTTTAAAAGGGCAAGTGGAAGGCCCAAAAGGATTTGGATGGAAGTAGTGAGAAATATGGTGATTTATAGTCTGACTGAGGATAATGGAGCAAAATAGTAGAACATGATTCATGTAGCTGACCCCAAATTGTTGGGATAGAGGATGATGATGATGATCTACATATGCAAGTGAACACAAAATTTAGCATAATGACTAGTATGAAGCTTGTCTAGAGTAAAATGATTCGTGTCATATTGAGGGCATCCTCGTTTTTGTTCTATTGTGTAAACTTGGTCTGTTTATCTAAAACCTACCATGCCCTTTATCTAAGCAATATAGTGCAAAGAAAGAACAACTGCTATGACTTTAGATGCATTGGGAAGGGTCATGTGCCTAAGATAACTTTATTGAATCATGTTTCTAGACTCGATCGAGTCCACTAGGACTCAGCAGCATAACTTGCCCTTATCCTATTTGCAGGGCGAGGAAGGTGCAAGTTGGAATGTCCAACTCGCAGGGGCACCCAAAAATAGCTAAATAGTACAAAAAATATTTAAAAAATGCAAAACATTTGGAAAATAATAATATATTATTTAGAATTTTTCTTTTAGATAATTTTGATGATTTTTAAGATGATTTGGGAACTTTTTCTGAAATATTCAAGGTATAAATCAAAATGTTCAACAATCCATCTTTTATGGTTTTTTTTCGTCTTTTTTAGTCTTCTAATCATTTCTATTGCATGCTTTATTGTTTTCTATTTTCCACTTTTTTTGGCAAATTTACTTTTTTTGACTTTTTAACAATTTTGGGGGTGTACATAACTTGGCCTGGTCGAAGTAGACTTGACTGAGTTACTCGCCTCGGCCAAGGGCCGAGTACCTTGGCCAGGGCGAGCTTTAAAACACTGATGTTGAGGATGGAATTGCAGTTATACTTTCATGACAATTTTTGCGTCTCAAGGCCAATCTTCTATAGCTACAGTTGCAAAGTACCTAAGGTCTTCAAGCCATTTATGTTGTTCCAAATATTTATTTGAAATATGAGAAAAAAAAAGTAAAAAAACATATACAAGTAATAAAATGATAAAATTATTTAAACATAGGGAAAGAAGAAAAGATTATCTTACAATAATAGCACATTCAAGTTTCAACAAACTTGGTGAAGTGAACAATTATGGTAAGAAATCTGCGACGCCTCTCAGGATGCATTAATTACCGTGACAGGTCTACAAATAGCTAGTAAATGGGATCCTAAACACCAACAATTTCAGGTGATATAAAGACACCAAATATGGAGCACTTTTCATTTGGCCAATAGATGTAAATAAGCAATCTGAAATATCCTAAATAAGATCATTAAAGACCTAAAAGAGTATAAAGACACCAAATATGGAGAACTTTTCATATGGCCAATAGATGTAAATAAGCAATCTGAAATATCCTAAATAAGATCATTAGAGACCTAAAAGAGCTTTAATCACAGAGGAAGTATCCCACCAAATCTTTCTTCTCAGATACATAAATGAAATGATCAGTGATTGGAAACACCAAATCTTAACAAAAGAGTTACAACTAATAGGATAGGATATATGTGGCTCTCTAAATTATAAAATAAATAAAGGATTAGACAAAATGCTAACGTCATTAATTGCTTTCCACTCTGGTTAAGTATTGGTAGCAGGGACTTGAAGAACTGGTAATGCCAATCCAAAGGGTTGATCAAAATGGATTAGAACTGGTAGTGCTCTCTAAATTATAAAATAAATAAAGGATTAGACAAAATGCTAACGTCATTCATTGCTTTCCACTCTGGTTAAGTATTGGTAGCAGGGACTTGAAGAGCTGATAGTGCCAATCCAAAGGGTTGATCAAAATGGCGAGGCTGCCTTAAACAAAAAACTTGTGGGATATTGCACCAATTAAGAATGAATCTCAATTTTCACACATCTGAGTATTCATCTCAAAGAGGTTGGAACTTTGGATTTCAGCCAAGTGTGCTCCCAGAGGGAGGACATGTTTGAGAACATCCACATAGCTTTCATAAATCAAGATAACAATCATATATCGATAGTAGCTATTAGCCTCAGGTTCCACATTTCTAAGTCCGACAATGTCCTTCACAATGACCCTTGTTATGTCTGACTTTGAATAAAATAGAAGAAAATAAAAAAACCTAACAATCTTAAGCCAAAAATATATTACTGTAAAGTTGCATCCACAATGTAAAGTTATAGCAATAATAACAAAAACTTTTTACGTTGATGTACAGTCATATTTCCTCTAGAATCTGTTACATTTACTACTGGAAATGCAACTTGCGATGCTAAAGAAAGGCCATATGAATGGAGTAGAGATACTTTATGCTATACAGATCACCATTTGCCAATGAGAGATGCGAGCAGATAGAATCCCTAACATAATCTACCAAACAAAGCTCTAACTTAAGACGTCAAAATGTAGGACGATCCAAGTTCAGGGCTACTCCAATATAAATTTAATTACATGGAGAAATAATGTTACACAGAAACAGGAGAGGTTTTCTTTTGTGATAAATGGTAACACAGGACATATATTCTTGATCAAATAAAAGAATAAAATTGAATAAAAAAGTCAAACAAATTAAGTAGTGGCTTGGGGTAGGTGGATTACAGTGACAAGCTCTGATATTAAGCGATCAGAGAGACCAGCTTGTTCCAATTCGACCTGCAATGGCTGAGTTGTAAGTCCATACAACCCAGCCCACTTCAACATCTCCTCCACTGACTCAAAAATCGGCCGCGAGTCTTCATAGTACTTCAAGAAATTCGCCACTGCACTCTGTGAAAACCGTCATACCCAAAGGTCAAAACTTCAGCATGTCCAATTCATGTTCGATTTGAACAAATAATTAAACCACTTTAGCCGAGGGTACAACAAAATCAAACAAGAGAAACACAAAATCAAACTTGAGCTAAGAAAAAAAGAATGGCAAACACTCACAGACTAAAACCCAAGAATAAAGTAAATTTGATCCTAAAGAACCCAAAAAAAATGTTAATGTGCAGAGAGAGACCAGGGTGAAGCTCTGCATCCTGAGGAGAGAGAAACCATATCGACCAAACATGAGGAGAGAATTGAAAAAAGACGCCAATTTCTTGAGAACCACCCATTGACATGGAGGCATGGTCTTGAACACGAACCCCTTTCCATCCCACACACCAAACCATGAATCATCGTTATCTCCCCTCCGCCCGAGCCCAAGAAGCTCAGTGAAATTGAGAGCATGGTAATTCTTGGGGTGGAGTATGGAAGCCCCAGCTTCAAAGGTATCACCTGCGAGCTCCACAGTGGCCATGCGACCACCCACTTTCTCTCTCCTCTCGAAAACAGAGATCTCAAGGGAAGGAGAGAGAGAGTAGGATTTCAGGAAATGGGCAGCAGAGCTCCCCCCTATTCCGCTCCCGATTATGCAGACACGATGGCCTGAAGCGGTGATGAGAGAGAAAGAAGTAAGGGAGAGGAAGAGAGAGAAGAGGAGGCCCCATTTCTCCATGCCCATGGACTCCCTCACCAGCCCATAGGCAGGTGATCAAGGCCGCATTTGTCTACGAATGTTGTACAGTATAATAATAATAAAAGGATGTGGTTTATATAAGGCTGAGGCCCTAAACAACATAATTAAGGCGCACTTTCAAATAGTATCCGAACAAGAAATCTTTACAATGGACTGAAAATTTATTTTTATCTCTAATTATAAAATTTAAAATAGTGTGGATCAAAGTGGATCTATAAACACTTTTAAATTTTGAAAATTGATGGTCTTGATAATATATTACAAGAGCACTAATTTCAAAACTTAAAATCTTTCTCTGTTTTTTTGATAAAGTTAACGTTGTATTAAAAGGCCGAAAAGATACATAGGTAGACCGAGAGGACCCACATGCTGGGCCTTTCAGTCGAAGAATGAGGAAACCTCAGGGGTGAGGTGTTGTGCAAATATGATGTCTAAAAAGAAAGCCTAAAACTCGTAAACAGGAGCAGAGGTTGAAACACCAATGTAAAAAGACAGGCAGCGATAGTTGTAGCATATATAAACACAAACGGTAAAAGTACTAGCTAGTAAAACTGAGCCATGGGGCTAAGAAGTGGCAACGGCTTGTGTAATCGCTCCCTCCTTAGCTAGTCAGTTTGCCAGGCCATTTGATTCCTTCCAAATATACATCTATGAGACGGCTATATCCCTGAAGAGGTGGGAAATTTCGTCAAAAATCAAGACGAGGTATTAGGGAGGAGAAACAAGACAAGCAGTCGAAGAGAATATGTTGCGCACATCCCCTTCCACTAGGAGGGGTTGACCACACATAGGATTGAAGAGGTTAATACCCATGAGCATAGCCATGGATTCTGCAAACTGTGAGTCAGCCTGACCTACTTGTTCGGAGAAAGAAGCGAGGGTGTTCCCCTGGTGATCTCTAAAAACCCCCCTATCCCCAAGGGACCAGGGTTACTACGCGAACAACAGTCAAAGTTGAACTTAATAGCATCAGGTGGAGGAGGTGACCAGCCCCCATGGCGAGTGGGACGATTGTGTTGGACCAAGAGTAATTGTTGTCAGTTTGTGAAGAATTGAGAGGTAGGGAGATTCTTGAAGGCCTTGTGATTGGTAGTCCAGAAGATCACGAGGGTTTCGATCTTGTGAAACAAGGCATGGATTTCACTATAGACTCCACGAAAGATTCTTGCATTCTTTTCCATCCACAATGTCCAAGTTGTGGCCTCTATAGTTGCCTTTCAAAGAAGCTTCCCAGTTTTGGGTCAAGAAGAGCAGTCGGTTAAGTGGAAAAGGCCGTAAATGGAGGTTGGCATAACCCATGTCAAGCCAAACAGGCTGAGGAATCTGATCCACAAGTTGTAGGCTAGGTCACAGTGAATGAATAGGTGTGGGTGATTTTCTTCTTCACTTAAGCATAGAATGCAACAATACGGTATAGCCTCTGCACTTAAGTTGATCCACTGTCAGCGCTCTTTCAGAACAAGCAATCCAATTGAAGGCTCGCACTTAAAATCTCTTTTTTCCATATCCATATATCATGAGGTCGAAATAATCGAATTAAAATGTTTTTAGCATCGAACCAACCTCTTATAGTGAATATTCGAGGTAGGCCATAATTTAATATTCAGAGCCTCACCCTTATATAACCTTTTTTCACAATAAAATAGGGTTGTACACTAGGAAACCATTTTATAATGTTTTATCAATAGGTCACAATTATCCTTAAGTGTTAAATATTAAATTAAAATTTCATTTTCTTCATTGAGTTTTTGAACACTAAATCTAGTCAACGATACTCTTATATCCACTTGATTTGAAATCTGATAATAAACAAAAAAAAACAATCCACATCCTTGTACCAAAAGTAAACGATCCCTCTATATACTTCTCCTAATAAAATTGCATAAGAATGGACAACAATGAATGCACAATTTAATAGTAGGTGCCGGTTGGACAATTTTTTAGTTGAATGTTGGCTAGTAGGTTTTATGAGGTGAATTGCAACCAATGTTTTAAAATACAGCGATATCTGATTTGGATTGTCTCGATTCTAATAGAAATCGATTGTGTGGGTTTGGGATGGCATAGATCCAAGCCGATTTCCCTTAAAACCCTCCTTTATATAATTTTTTTTTTTTTAGCTTATGTAATATTTTTTTGGGTCTCCTCTAAATCCCCACTTGAAAAACCTTATTTTCTAATTTTTTTGCTTTTAGCTTTTGGGATACAGAGTGGATCTTACATACTAGGTTTGTCGCTCAAAACTAAAACTAGGAATCTCTCTCCCTCACTTGGAACTATTAACTATTTTTTTCCTCGCTCCAATGCTTCTCTCTCTACACAAACATATTTGTTATTTTTTTTATCTACCCCAAGCCAATCCTACTCTCTGCATGAACCCCAATTGTTATTCAGACCCTCTCCCAACACCCAACCTGGGACCGATAGCTAGACCCGACCCGGGTCCAAGTATGGGTTCTGGGTCCAAATCTTGGACCTGAACAGTCCAGTCGTGTTCAGGTCCCATATTTTTCAATTTATAAAAAATATTTAAATATATTTAAATACATATATTTTAATTTTGGGTTAGATCCAATCGGGTCTAGGTCTAGACCTAGATCTGGGCTTCACATTATATTTTCGGATCTAGGTCCCAATTTTGGATTTGGGTCCTGGTCCTCCCAGACCTCGACCCGACCCAACCCAACCCATTGCCTCCCCCAGGCAAAGAATATGAGTTAAAGGTGGTCTGGTTAGACCACCATCTACGTGCCCAAAAAAGGCATAGATTAGGTGGTCCACAAGACCGAATTGTACGTTTGATGCGTGCGGTGCTAACTTATTCGATACTCCCGCAAGAATAAGCGAAGGTCTATATTGCGCGGGAAACCATGAAAGTTTTAGTTTGATAAGGCTTTCGCACTCATGGCGTGACAGTTACAGCGAACCCTAGGGTTCCCTGCACTTAAGCACTTGCTTTTGCTTCTTTAATGCTATAGAAACCAGTATTGTTTCCTCCATTAAAGCGCTTACTTTGCTTTTTTAAAGCATAGTTTACAGGACTTTGTGAAGGCCCTTTCTGCCATTAAAAAGCTTTATAAATTTCGTTTGCATTAGATGTATTTTTAATTATTTGTTTTTGTTCTTTTGTTTTGTAATTTTTATCTACTCCACCATTCAGTCATACATAAATAAAAGTGATTCGATTCTATAAAATAATAAAATGGAAAAAAAACCCTGTTTTATGGGCTATTGATAATTTTTCAGTCACATGAACCTATATTTATATATGCCATTTTTAAACCATAATAAACCTTTCTACACAAAGATAAATAAAAATCTCAGGAACGTAAAAAAACTCAACCCAATGAATAAAAATATGAAACCCCAATAAACTAATAAAAAAAAGCCTTTTCTTTTTTTTCCTCAAAAAAAACAAATACAAGACACCAGAATTCCATGAATCGCCATATTTTCCAAATCTATAGTAAGTATGACTTCTACGAACCTCAATAAAATAAAAACCTCAAATATTGTAACCCGTTGGAATGACAGTAGTTACACTACTTGAAATCCAACATTCACTGATTTAAACTAATTAATAACTCGAAAGAAAAATTCACAGTAACTTTAGAGAGAGAGTTTCAAAAGGCGCATAAAATGAGCAGGGAAGAATAAGCGCTCGAAGCCCTGAACTTTCAAATTGGGTTTTGGAGGCTCTGAGCGATTCAAGGACCTTCATAACCAAAGTGGTCTTCCCATTCCCCTGAAGTTAGAGAAAACGGCATGACATAAATAAATAAACTCTAATAAATAAAAACACATATAGTTATTGGGGGATCCAGGGGAAAAAGGATTCAGGGTTGTGAACTCACATGAGGGCCGGTCACTAGCAGGCATTTGCAGGAGTTCCCATGAGATCGTATTACGTTTGGTTTCACAGGTAGTGAGAGACTGTTACGCCATGAGAGGAAAAGCTTTTATGAGATCGTATTACGTTTGGTTTCATAGGTCGTGAGAGACTGTCCCGCCATGAGAGGGAAAGCTTTTGGTGTCGATGAGCGAGAGTAGGAGACAGTCAAGGTTTTGCAGAACAGGAGTGGGTTGGAGAGAGAGAGACTAGGTTTTATGTTTGAGGAGAGAGAGATCGAGTTTTGAAAATGGCACCATTGAAAAAGTAGTACCTCACACAGTTAAAAATAATATTAAAAAAATAAAAAATGCAACTCATAAAATAATATTAAAAGGTAAAAAATGCAACCGGCTGCTTCAACCAACTGAGAATCTCAATTATCTACGGCTCTTAATTTTGTGATCACCTTATTTGAAAGGTAAATGGTCATAGATTTCTTTTATTATAATATAAATTTTATTTAATTTCATTATTCTTTTTTCTTTTAACATGACCTCAACTCGCATGAGTTTTTCACACTCAAGCTGAGGAACACACTCGGGCCGAGTCGATTTCGCTTTTTTTAACACAAGGAGAAATGATAGAGAAAATGATAGAATTGGGCATTGGGAAATACTGGAGAAGTTTTGGAAAGGTTTTTGCAGATCTTAATGTGCTGATGATAATGCACGGTGACTTTCTCTTTATTTGATCGGGAAGGAGCGTCTCTTTATTCAATTTGATGTGAGTTT